CACTATTTACCGAAACTATTTCAAATTTTGTATTTGAAGTTCGTAACGAGTACTACAGCCTGGGACAGAAAAATGTCTGTGCAGGTCCACAACTTCGTATAGCCCCCATATTACGGTACCTCCCGATATGCGGTATTTTGATGATTTTAGCGAGATTATTTACCGGAATTGTTTCAAAATTGGTGTTTGAAATTTGTAATGGAAACTACAGCCTAAAACAGAAAATGGGCCAAATTATCTGTGCAGGTCCACGTCTTCGTATAGCCCCCATATATCGGTACCCCCTGATATTCGGTATTTTGATGATTTTAGCGGCATTATTTACCGGAATTATTTCAAATTTTGTATTTGAAGTTCGTAATGGATACTACAGCCTATGCCAGAAAATTGTCAATGCAGGCTTATGACAAAAGTTGCGTATGCAGGTCCACGACGTCGTATAGACCCTAATATACGGCTACGTTCAGTATTTTTAAGATTTTAAAAGAATTTTTAATGGATTGTAATTTTTTGAAAATTTCCAAATTTGTTCCAAACTGTGGAGGGTATTCAAAGTTCAGCCCGGCCGAACTTATAGTTTTTTACTTGTTAATTGCAAAAAATTGACGAAATAAGTCCACATGTCGATATAGCCTTTATATAAGGAAATCTCTGTATTTTGGGAGGTTTAAGGCTATATTTTCCAATTTATTTCGTTTAAATTTTGTTTCTCAGGGCTTCCTTTTCCGAAACAGAGGTTTTAATAGGATTTTCAAAATTTTCCCTTAACATCACTGTTTTCCATCCAAAAACAGTGTACCACTTCCGCATGTCGTTGAATGTATTTACAGTGTCTATTTATTTCTTATGGTTATGGGTCTCTCATGTACACAAAACTTTTATGAAAATTTTCCTTCATTATTTCATGTTATGCCACAGAAAATGAAAAACAAAAAAAAACTTTTCCATTTTGAGTTGAGGAACAGAAGTCAACGCCATCTACTCGTAGACATTCATGCAAACCCATAGCTACACCCACAGAGACGTGTAAAGTTATTCCCTGTGATGTTGTCGTTACTTGCCAACACATCAGCCGAGCTGTCTATGCGTGTGTCTGTGTATGGTAGGTGCAGTGTACATTTTTAATTAAAACTCTATTTAATGGAAATTTGAGAAATAATTACATAAAGTCAATTTTTGTCGTGGTGATAATGGAAAGTGATTTTCCAAGCAATTGAAGCGTTCTCAAAGGATTTGTTAGGAATTCCAAAAAAAATTGTTTAGGCAAAGAGTGTGATGATTTTCAAAAATTATTGGAATTACGTGCATGCAAGAAGAGCAATTATGAAATAATGGAAAGTAGTTCAGTTGATTTTAATGCCAGAAATTTGAGGCTGGAACGCAGACCGCAAAAAAAAACAGTAAAGAAAGTCTTAAAGTCGGGCGGGGCCGACTTTATGATACCCTACACCACTTTGCTAATTTAGTAGAGCTCCACATAACAATTAAAAGTTTTTATGGGAGAATTAAATCATACACCCTATGATTATAATTATAATTTAAAGTTCAAATATGCCGAAGCATTTGTATCTTTTAAATTCGGACTTGTATTGCCCATTTGGTGCAAAATTAATTTGGAATCAGATAAAGATATATATGGGAGTTATATCCAAATCTGAACCGATCTCGATAAAATTTGGCAAAGATATTTCTGAGCTGTATTAGATATATTTTCCCAAATATTGTTGTTACAGAGTGCATATTACGGTTGTGGGAAACAAATATAATAAATCGGATGAACAATATATATGGAAGCTATAGCTATATCTGAACCCATCTGCACCAAATTTGGCATACTAGCTTCTAGACTCAATTCGGTCGTAAGTGCCAAATTGCATCTTATTTAGACAAATATTAGACGTTTGGTGTACAATAAAATGTAAATCGGACGAAGTTATATATGGGAGCTATATCCAAAGCTGAACCGATCTCGATTAAATTTGGCAAAGATATTTCTGAGCTGTATTTGATATATTTCCCCAAATATTGTTGTTACAGAGTGCATATTACAAAAACAACAAATCGCATGAGCAATATATATGGGAGCTATAGCTATATCTGAACCGATTCCGATCAAATTTGGCATATTTATTTTCAGGCTTAATTTGGGTACATATGCAAAATTTCATACAATTCGGGATGATATTACACGGACAATAAAAGGTAAATCGGACCGATTATCTCCAATTTTAATAGGATTCGTCCTTGGGCCAAACAAATGATCTGTGCAAAATTTCATCTGGATCGGGCAATAAATGCGGCCTGTGCTTTGTTTACAAAAATACATGGACAGACGGACATGCATAAATCGACTCAGAATGTGATTCTATGCAGATCATCAAAAGGAACTATGGGTCTATCTCGTTTCCGTTTGCCTGTTACAAACAAATGCACAAAGACATAATACCCTGACCACCTTGTGGTGTAGGGTATAAAAAACAAAAATCGATCGAAATGACATTTTTCAGCTATAGCAAAATGCTGAGCTATTTTATGGATATAAGCAATCGAACAGTGTTGGCATGTTTGTTCGTTTATTTTTAATGTTAATTTTTCCAGTAGGCAGGTTAAGTTCGTAAATGAGCCATGTAGGTCCACGTCTTCGTATAGCCCCCATATAACTGTACCTCCCGATATTCGGTATTTTGATGATTTTAGCGACATTATTAACAGGAATTGTTTAAAATTTGGTATTTGAAGTTCGAAATGGATACTACAGCTTAAAACAGAAAATTTTCTGTGAAGGTCCAAGTCTTCGTATAGTCCCCATATAACAGTACCTCCCCATATTCGGTATTTTGATGAGTTTAGCGTCATTTTTCACCGGAATTGTTTCAAATTACGTATTTAGATCTCGTAATGGGAACTACAGCCTGTGACAGAAAATTGTCTATGCAGGTCCAGGTCTTCGTATAGGTCCCACATACCAGTACCTCCCTATATTCGGTATTTTGACGATTTTAGCGACATTATTCACCGGAATTGTTTAAAATTTGGTATTTGATGTTCGTAATGGATGTTACAGCCTGTGACAGAAAATTGTCTATGCTTGTCCAGGTCTTCGCACATCTCCGATATAACGCTATCTCCCTATATACGATATTTTGATGATTTTAGCTACATTATTAACCGTTTATTTCAAGTTTCGAATTTGAATATGGTAATGACTTATGACAAACAATGCCCATGTAGGTCCACGTGGTATAGACCCCTATATAACGGCTATAATCGGTATTTTTTTAAATTTTAACTGAATTTTTTTAATTTTTTTGAAAATTTTTAAATTCGTTCCAAATGGTGCAGGGTATTCAAAGTTCGGCCTGGCCGAACTTAGCTTCTTTTTTACTTGTTAATTATTATAATTTCCACTTGTCCATAAATGAATTGGATATTCGTGTTTTCAACATCATAATTAATTTTTCTTTTAAAGTGATGATTATAACATTTCGTAAGTATTCAATAGAAATGCAAATCTGAATATCTAACGCTTCACATCAGCCATACAATTTATTGTGTTGAAAAAAATAAATAAATTTCTATTTGAAATCAAACAGCATCAAAGTGCATACATAGATCATGAAAGTTCAGGTGAGCGCACGAAAATATTTATAAAAATAAAATTAAAAAAATATTATTTTTTCGTAGATAATATTTTTGGTGTCTCTCATTTACTCCCGTTGTTGTTTCTCCAACGCAGCTACGCAGGAGATAAGTCACATAAGGTAGAAATCCAGCTTTCTATAAATAAATAACAAATAATTAATGAAAATAATAATTTTAGCATAAATGACGACGATTACACTCGAGAAGAATCCCTATTTTTGATAGACGAAAAAGATTTGGAGATCAAGGGCACATTGCAGCAATCATTTGTCAGCAGCAATGGAGATATATTACGAACTACCCTAGAATATGTAGCCGACAAACTTGGTTACCGTACAAAATACAAATATGAAACCGATCCTGGATATTTTGTTGAAGCCTTATGTGGATCTACTTTGTATTCCTTGGCAGGTTAATAAAATTTCATTTTTAAAAATCGTGAATTTTTTTATACCCTCCACCATAGTATGGAGGGTATATTAAGTTTGTCATTCGGTTTGTAACACTTCACATTTTAGACCCCACAAAGTATATATATTCTTGATCAGCATAAAATTCTATGTCGATTTAGCGATGTCCGTCCGTCTGTCTGTCTGTCTGTGGAAATCACTCTAGCTTCCGAACGAACTAAAGTAGATTGATAAAATTTTACTCAAATGTATGTTAAGTCTGCAGGACTTTTGGTATAGAAAATGGGCTATGTAGGTCCACCTCTTCGTATAGCTCCCATATAACGGTACCCCCCGATATTCGGTATTTTGATGATTTTAGCGATTTTATTCACCGGAATTGTTTCAAATTTGGTATTTGAAATTCCTAGTGGATACTGTAGACTAAGACAGAAAATTGCCTGTGCAGGTCCATGTCTTCGTATAGCCCCCATATAACCGTACCTCCCGATATTCGGCATTTTGATGATTTTAGCTACATTATTCACCGATTTTTTTAAGTTTCGCATTTGAATATTGTAATTGCTTATGACAAGAGTTACCTAAACAGGTCCATATCCTCGTATAGACCCTAATGTAACAGCGACATTCGGTATTTTTAAGATTTTAACAGAATTTTAAACGGTTTGCCTAATTCGTTCCAAATGGTGGAGGGTATTCAAAGTCCGGCTCGGCCGAACTTACAGCTTTATTACTTGTTTTTTTTCAAGTTTCGCATTTGAATCTTCTAATGGTTTATTAAAAAAGTTGCCTATGCAGGTCAACTTCGTCGTATAGACCCTTGTATAACTGCTTCATTCGGTATTTTTGAGATTTTAATAGAATTTTTCAGGAATTTTATTTATTTATTTATTTTTTTTTATTTTGAAAATTGCCAAATTCGTTCCAAATGGTGGAGATTATTCAAAAATCAGTCCGCCGAACTTACAGGTCTTTCACTTGTTACATCGTAATATTATTATGAAACTAAGATCGAGTTTTCTAACTCAATCACTTTGTAAGAGAATATGTTCTTATTTATTCGAAACTTTAATAAATCCATTAATCTGCTATAAAACTACCCAACCAACGACTTTAGAGAAACTCCACTCAATAGAGGATCTAAAAATCCGCCTTCATTTGTATATCTGTATTTTACTCTGAAACCGAGTTTATCGGCCATATATTCCAATGATGTTCGTACAATAAAATCATTGCCATTCGATGTGGATAAAAATGTCTGTTCCAATGCACCATTAATGTGCAAGTTTTCCTCATCGTCTACAGAAATTGATTGGTCGTGCAGGTATCCACTGTTTTCGAGACTGGAAAAATAAATAATGATTAACTGATTTTTTTATTAAAAAAATTGCCTTACCTTATATGACTTAGCTCTTTGGATGCTGTACTCGAGAAACAAACGACAAATACAAAAACCATAAAAAACAACGGCCAAATAATCTGCGACGAAGCAATTTATTTTGTCTATATTCTAATTAAAAAAAATATATATATATTCAAAACTTTTACCCGCATGATAATTTTTAAGGTTCGAACGTCAAGGTGTTAAAAGTGTGACTGAAAACAAATAATTTTTTTTACTATTGTAATATGTTAAAAATTACAGCTAAGTCGTTAGGAGATGTTATATTGATATTGAGTTATAAACCACGAACATTTACAAAGACCACCCTAATCGACATGATTAATTATGGTTTTAAAAACTCAAATCATCATCGCAGCTACAGTGAATATTATGTATTAATTGCTACCTATTGCAGAAATTATCATCGATAAAAAAGTTTCGTTTCAAATATTTTTTCAAATATTGGCGAGGTGCTCAGAATTGTTCAAACATTGGTGAACTTTGTAATAAATAATTGCGGTTTTACTGTATCATTTTGAAATATATTGTTGTAATTTATTGAATTTAAGGGACTGCAAATCAAGCGAAATACATCAAGTAAATATAAGTTCGGCCGAGCCGAACTTTAAATACCCTCCACCATTTGGAACGAATTTGGCAATTCTAAAAAAAACAATAAAAACCGTTAAAAATTCTGTTAAAATCTTAAAAAATACCGAATGTAGCTGTTACATTAAGGTCTACACGAGGACATGGACCTGTTTAGGTAACTCTTGTCATAAGCCATTACAATATTTAAATGCGAAATTTAAAAAAAATCGGTGAATAATGTAGCTAAAATCATAAAAATACCGAATATCGGGAGGTACGGTTATGTGGGGGCTATACGAAGACGTGGACCTCCACAGACAATTTTCTGTTGTAGGCTGAAGTATCCACTACGAACTTCAAATACCATATTTGAAACTATTCCGGTGAATAATGTCGCTGAAATCATAAAAATACCGAATGTCGGGAGTTACCGTTATATGGGGGCTATACCAAAACGTGGATCTACATGGGCCATTTTCAATACCAAAAGTCCTGCAGACATAGCATACATTTGAGCACAATTTTATCAATTTACTTCAATTTGTTCGGAAGTTAGAGTGATTTCCACAGACGGATAGACGGATGGACATCGCTATGTCCGCTAAGTATACACTTTGTGGAGTCTAAAATGTGTATTTCGAAGTGTCAAACTTAATATACCCTCCATACTATTGTGAAGGGTATAAAAACAGTGAGTAATACACATCATCAAAATACCGAACATATGGAGGTACCGTTATATTAGGGCTATACGACGATGTGGACCTACACAGACAATTTTCTGTCATAGGCTGTAGTACCCATTATGAACTTCAAATAACAAATTTGAGACATTTCCGGTGAATAATGTCGCTCACTATTTTTCGAACTTATTTCAAATTTCGTATTGGAAGTTCGTAATGAGTATTACAGCCTATTACAAAAAATTTCGTATGCAGGTGTACGTCTTCGTATAGTCCATATATAACGGTTTTCATTAAAGTGGTAGTTTTCGGATTTTTTTTTTTTTAAATTTTTCAAGTTTCTTACAAATAGCGGAAGGTTTTAAAAGTTCGATCCGGCTGAACATTTTGTGCAATATAACTGTGTTTGCCTGTTAAATATTTCGTAAAGTTTTACCTATAGATCTCCAACATTTTAGTTTCAATCTGACTTTGTAAAGAGACAGTCAGTACCATGAAGGTAAAATCACAAAATATTAATAATTATTTCTCAATTTTTCAAAATAATTTTGTTGTTGTTATTATAGACACTTTTTCCGATATTCATGTTTGCAGTAATGAATTGCAATTATTTCAATGTTACTTCAAAAGACTTAGGCCACATAGGGTATTTAATTCTAAAAAAAACCCTAAAACCAGTTTTTATATTTTGCCATTTGGCTTTAGTATTTTTGAAGGTGACTATTTGCGCGATGAAACAATTTCCCTCGAAGGCGATGACATGTTGACAATCAAGGGAATAGTGCAGCAAACGTATTTTCCCAGTACTGGAGGAGAGGCACAAACTACCTTAGAATATGTGGCCGATAAATTGGGATATAGAGCAAAATTTAAATTGCGGACAAGTGCGGGTGCCAGTATAGCAGTTTTACCACCCTTGAGCGCATCGTCAATTAAAGTTGCAAGTTTTTATTAATTTTAATAATATAAGAAATGTTGTGGAAGCTATTAAAGAGAAGTGAGAAGTGATTTAACATTATAATATTTTATTTGAAAACATAAGGCGACATACCTTTAGTCGAATTGCCGATTTTTCTGTAAGTTCATCGTACGATAATTAATTTGGGATACAAAAATTTCAACGATAGGTTAATATTAAAAACATAAATGAATAAAAAAATTGGGTTTCGGCCGGCGCCGGACTTTAAATATCATCCATCATTTGAAAAAATAAAGTTAAATAAAAGTATCGAGTCTCGAAGACCAAATTTAAAACAATTCCGGGGAAAAATGTGTCCATCATCAAAATATCGAATATCATTTAAAATACCGAATCCAAGAGAAAGGTCTGCAAAAATCGTTAGCATACCAAAAATTTAGAGGTTCCACTACAAAGTCGCTATCGGGTCTTTAACTAATCTTGTCATTATTGAGGGTATAAAAATCAATGATATTTTGTCATGAAAACTTTTAAACAAGTTTATTAATAGTCGCCATTTTCTGAACAAGAAAGTATTTAAATTAAACTACGACTTTTTTCAGAATCCTTACAAATATTTTTATTCTTCCATTTCTTAGGAATTCCATTCCTTAGGAAGATGTTCTTGCAAATTTTTTCCTAGAAAACCCGTATTTGTTAAAGATTTTTTGTTCAGAATATCCCAAAGCACATTTTAGAAATCCCAATTTTTTTTTTGCGAATGTTCTTTCAAATTCTAAAAGAAACTAGGATTTTCTTGAGGTCATTGGAAAGTTCTTCAAACATCCAAGGTTTTCGGCCAACAGTTCCTTAAACAATTCCAAAAATCAAAAGCATCGTTAAGCACATTTTTAAAAAAGCTTAAAACCCAAGACTTTTCGTTCAGGAGGTCCTTAAAAAACCTCAATTTTAGTCCTAGAGATACATAAAAATCCACAATTTTCGGCCAGAATTCCAAGATTTGTAATCAGGATATCCTTACAAATTGTTACAAAATACTTGTGAAAAATGTATGGGTACATCGACGAGTTTTGAAGGAAATTAAAAAAAAATGTTTTTTTTCCTTAAAATATGTTTTAAGAAAACTCACGATTTTTGGTGTGAAGTCCTTGAAATAAAGAATGCGCATCTTAGTCAGAAAGAAATAAAAAAAAATACCATTTTTATCTACAGAAACGAAAAAATATTAAAAAAATACAATTCTTAAGAAAAAATAGAAATTTTAAAAATAACTACTTTTGAAAAATCTATAAGAAAATCGATGGTTTTTTTAAGAAAATAAAAAAAAATATTCTTTTTTACAAAAGTCCTTCAAAAAATATGAACACAGATAATCTACAAAATTTTGTTAGGAAGTCCGTTAAAAATGTTTTTAAAAAACTACAAATTTTAATATGAAGTGCTTGGAAAATATGTAAAGAAAATGCAGAATGTCCTTAGAAAGAATTAAAAAAGGACTATCAGACGTGGATTTTTTAAAGAACATTTTTGCCAAGGTCCAATTAACGTGGATTTTTTTAAAGAACATTTTTGCCAAAGACCAATTAAAATTTTAAGGACCTTCCCAACATTACTTCCGAATATTTTTTCAAAGACTTTCCCAACAATATTTCCGAATATTTTTTCAAGGACCTTCCCAACAATACATCCGAATATTTTTTCAAAGACTTTCCCAACAATATTTCCGAATATTTTTTCAAGGACCTTCCCAACAATGCTTCCGAATATTTTTTCAAAGACTTTCCCAACAATATTTCCGAATATTTTTTCAAGGACCTTCCCAACAATAATCCCGAATAGTTTTTCAAAGACTTTCCCAAAAATATTTCCGAATATTTTTTCATGGACCTTCCCAACAATAATCCTGAATATTTTTTCAAATACCTTTCCAACAATAACCAATAGACGTAGATTTTTTTAAAGAATATTTTTTCAATGACGTTCCCAATAATATTTCCGAATATTTTTTCAAGGGCCTTCCCTACAATATTTTCGAATATTTTTTCAAGGACCTCTATACTTAATAAACTTGGATTTCTTAAAAATTATTTTATTTTAATATTTCCTTATATTATTTCCCATCTTCCCATTAGTAAAGAATATTTTTTTAAAAACCTTCCCAACAATATTTCCGATTATTTATTCAAAGACCTTCCGTTAAAAAAAATCTGTTAAAATCTTAAAAATGCCAAATGTTGCCGTCATATTAGGGTCTAAACAATGACGTGGACCTGCATAGACAACTCTTGTCATAAGCCATTACTATATTCAAATGTGAAACTTGAAAAAAATCGGTAATAATGTAGGTAATATCATCAATATAGGGAGGTAGTATTATATGGGGGCTATACAAAAATGTGGACCTGCACAGACAGTTTTCTGCCTTAGGCTGCAGTATCCATTACGAACTTCAAATACCAATTTTGTAACAATTCCGATGAATAATGTCGCTAAAATCATCAAAATACCAAATATCGAGAGGTACCGTTATATGAGGTCTATACGAAGACGTGGACCTGCTCAGATAATTTTCTGTAATAGGCTGTAGTATTCATTACGAACTTCAAATATCAAATTTGAAACAATTTCGGTAAATAATGTCGCTAAAATCATAAAAATACCGAATATCGGGAGGTACCATTATATGGGGCCTATACGAAAACGTGGACCTACATGATCCATTTTCAATACCAAAAGTCCTGCAGTCATAATACACACTTGAGTAAAATTTTATCAACCTACTTCATATCGTTCGGAAGCTAGAGCGATTTTCAAAGACGGGAGGACGGACGGACATTGCCAAATCGACATAGAATTTTATGCAAACACAAACTTTATATAACATTCATACTATGGTGGAGGTTATAAAATTTAAGATCCCATTTTAAGATAGTTAAAAAAAACAATACTTGGTTTAAAAGCCCTTGGGAGTCCGTGATTAGAAATTTCTTGTGAAATGTTTATACAAAAATCCAGCAATCTTGGATAGGAAGTTCTCTGGAAATATTTTAAAAATTTTCGATTTTAAGTTGGAGATTCTAAAAAGCACGCGATTGTTGAGCTGAGCCTTTTTAAAATTATTTTTATGAAAAAAAAACTCTATTTTTTGGCCCGGAAAAAGAAATCCTTTTTCTTAAAGTCCTCTAAAAATTAACCAAGACTTTTTGCTTAAAAGTCTTTGTAAAAATATTTTGAGACAAGCTAAAATTAGAACAATTCGGATACAAGGTTCCTAATATTCAAACTTCATAATTTTTTACAAAATTGGCCTTTCTAAAGGAGCAAATCAACATTCCCCATTATTACACTTCGTCTAATTCATGTACGTATATTGAAATATATGCCAAGTTTGGGAAATGCAACTACTCTTCTTGTATAACAATAATGATATTTTAAGAACATTTTGAGTAATTCATATATTTTTCTTTCTTCCATTAAAAATTCTTCTGATATTTTATTTATGCTCCTAAAAATATGCTTTGTTTCTTTAAATTAACATTTAAATTTCAAAGTTTCTCCGAATTCCACTAAATAACAATAAAGACATAATTTAGATAAACTTTCCTCCATTTTATCTGGCCTTACATTTGTTTAATCCTTCTGACACCGAAATAATTCAAAAGAACAGCAATACACGCGACTTTAGACGCCACATCATAAAGTTTATTTTGTCCTTTGTGACTGAATATTCGCCACAAATGCCAACCAAAAAAAAACCTAAGTCAAATACAACGTCATCACAAAAATAAAACATATATTTTTTGTATGAAAAAAAAAGTCCAAAAAAATATAAATAAATATCCTTTAACCACGAAAACATGCTGAGTGAAATATAGTTTATAATTTTTCTTTCAGAACAACAGCAGCAACAAGAACAACACACGCACAACATTAAGCCAACAAAAACAAAAACAGAGGAAATTTGTTTCGAACAAAAGGGTTACGTTTACAAATGACCCTGAGTAACTTTTGTAAGAATGTAAATGAGGATTTATTGTACAGCTGGGGAATTAAAACATTGGTCATATGCTACTTCTTTGCGGACTTAATGCCAGTTAAATTATTTAAATTTGGAAATGTTTAGACATGAGTTTTTTGTAAATTTTGAAGAAAATCTAAAGAAGATGTTCTGCTATTAGATATCTACCCTCACACTATGCCCGTACTTATATGAAGATACAAATTTCTATGAATCTTTGCGGTAAATGATGACAGCAAAACGAAAAAGGTGAAATTTTGCCCGAGGTCACATTTTCGGTAATTAAGTATGGGCGAAATTCCAATTTTTTATGGGCCATATCCTGACGACATACTGATGTTGAACAAAATCCCATTGATAATGTCTGTCGACAGATGTATATCCTCAGCCTTTAACAATTTATAAATCTGATATTAATTTTGTCGAAGACGTATAGATCGACTACTACTGTTATTTGAGAGGGGAGTAACAGTAGGTGTGGATATCAATATCCCATGCTCATATTAATCTATGTTTGATGTATATATTGAGATATAATTATTTAAAATATTGGACCTTTGTGGGGGAGGTAACAAAAGGAATGGTTCCATATTAACACAATACAGGATAAGATCGGGCATTTTATCTATCATCTTAACTGTGCGAAATTTGAAGAGAATCGTATACTTATTTCGCATTTTGTCAGCGTTTTGGTTATTCAAAAATTAAACCATTTGCGAGGGGAGGTACCAAAATAATTGAACCGATATATCCCACCTTAACGCCAAATCCTCTCCGAATAAAAATAGTGGGATGTGTGAAATTTGAAGAGAATGCTCATTTTGCATTTTTTCCTGTTGTATGAGGTAAATTTCTATGAAGTAAATTTTTACTGTGAAAATTTTGACTATTAGTTGGGAGAGGTACCTGAAGAAGCTGGGGACGATTTTGCCTATATTGGAACTCAATCTAAGTTTGATAATAAATACGATGTAGCAAGTTCGGAGCGTGCGCATCAGCCTGCCAGACGGATAGCCGT